AAATTTGAACTATGTGAAAAACTGAGGGTTTTTGATCCTTATAACCCTTTATTAATAATTAATTATCAAATTGACCTTCATTATAAACTATTTCAAAAATTTAACCTCCCCAAAAAATATAACACAAATCTGCTCTTGTTTGACCGTTAACCATCATGCCTACCCGGGTATCACCCTCCCTACCCGAGTATTTTTTAAAAAAATTTGCCTACCCAGGTAGGGAGGAGTGTACCCGGGTAAATATCGCTCAGAAACCCCAATATCAATGGGTTTCAGCCAATGTTGCGGGGTATAGGTTTTCCCCCCCAAATCTCTCTCCCTTGACATCTCTATTCCGGAACATCACACATATATTTCATCTCATTATCTCAGAAAGCTTAATCTTGGTAGGACATTGGGATTACACCTCCACACTCCCATTTTGTGCTCAAAAATCTGAACCAACCTCCAAACCCAAAACCTAAATCTAATTTTCGTGTGAAAGATGAGTTCAAGTCCAAACATGGTTCCTATAGTTATTTACTACAATGGGAGGCATTTTGAAGGTGCGAACGGTGTCCGATTTGAAGGAAAAACAAAAACGATGAAAATCAAACTGGGCACTACATGCAATGAACTGAAGGAGAGAATTCTCCAAAAAATGGGGTTAGAAGGCATACAATCCATCCACCACATGATAGCCAGGTTAGAGACTGTAGTGGATATGGATACAATATACTACATTGGTAACGACATCAATGATGATGAAGATGTGGAGTTCGTAACAGATGCGTTTGTTGGATGGAAAGTATTAAAATATATTGAGATATATGTTGAAGTTGATGCTGGTCAGACTTCATCTTTACCGGTGCATACAACCACTGCACACTGTACTGGTCAAGAAGATACAGTTGTACGATCTTCTGCACCTCCTCAGGTAGCATTGGATGAGGATGAAGATGAGGAGTATGTGGACAGCGAAGATGAGGGAGAACCTGAAAGTGCTATTCCACAAGGTGATTCGTCAGACACTGACATGGACGGAAATTTTGACGCTGACACGAGCGCTGTAAGTCTGGGTACCCTAGCCTTGTCACCACTTCATGTTGACCCAGTCAGTAGTGGTAAGTTATTAAATTTGGACATTTGCTTTAGACAATTATTATTTGTGGTGGTATTCATTCAGACAATAATGATGAATCTTTAGATGCAGGGACTGCGGTTGAGCCTTTTTGGAATGAAAGCCAACATTATTCATTCATTAATTGGGCGCACCCTAATGACGAGTTGGAGATCCTATATGGGGATGATGACTTGCACGGAGGTTGGAAGTTAGGAGATCCGTTATTTGTGCAACAAGAATTTGGCTCCAAACCTGAAATGCAGCCGTGAAGATACATTGTATGAAGGGGCGCAAGACAGCCATAGTCGAAAAAAGCGACGAGTCAAGATTTGTTATGAAGTGTAAAAACCATGCTGACGGTTGTCCCTGGTATATGAGGGCAATCAAACCGAAGAAGGGAGCTAATTGGGTGGTCCGTAAATGGGGTCAAGATCACACATGCCCGAATCAGGGCCTATCACAGGATCATAGGCAGTTGGATTCAGATGTCATTTGTGCGGCTATAATGAGTATGTATTCTACCGTGTACTTAATGAAGCTTCTTATTGAGAATATGGTAAAGTTGTGTTTTTTTTCTTACAGATATGTTAAAGGAAGATCCATCTACAAAACCAGTTCTGATACAAGAGAGGATACAGGGAATATATGGATACAACATAACGTACAGGAAGGCTTGGAGCATAATCACCAAATATATGATGGTTGTCTCCATCATATAGTGCTGCTCTTGTGACACCATCAAAATCGAACTCTAGTAGCTCTTTCTAGATAGGAGCAGTAATGATGATATCAATCCCGCAGACACGGGAAGTCAGCTCGCCATGCGTATAGCCAAGGTTCTGGTAGAAGGCTCTCACCATAACCTCCGAGTATGGGCACCCCCATCTCCGCAAGCACAAGTAAATGTGTCTCCTCAAGAAGCGGCACAATGTCAAAACGCTCCAAGTTGAAGAAGGCCGAATCCAGTGATTTCGACTCGCAAATCTTCCGACTCATGAAAGACTTCACAAACCTCTCGTGTGCAACTATGTCATCCTCAAACAAATATCCGAACGGCAAGTCCGGAGCCTGATGCATAGCAACCTGAGGCTGAGAGGATGACGACCCATCGTGTCGACGCTTGGTTCTCCTCTCGGTATCCCCCACCGGCAGCTTTGAAACGCTTCTAAAAGTCATTGCGTCACACTATTAAACTGAAAAAAAAGCCAAAATCAGAAATCAGAAATATACATGTTAGGGTTAGGGTTAGGGTAAGGGTAGCAGTTAGTAATTTCAAGAATTAATCGGTCATAATCAAATGACATAACCATGCAAACTACAAAAACACAATAATTTCAAATGAGGGAGAGACAAACATATCAAAATCAGAACACAATTGATAAAAAGGAAAAAAGTGAACCTTGGAGGGATTTCAATTGGTAGAAGGCAGAGATTCACACGTGCGCCAACTGATGATCACAAAAACGAAGAATTTGAGCAAGATTTCGTGTGAGAATCGCAACCAACACACCTCCAGCAGCTCTACCCGGTACCCCTTTGTGGGTTTTCCAAATGAGGGTTGCTAGGTTATATAAAAACCCTACCCGCGATATTTACCTGGGTACACCCCTCCTTACCCGGGTAAATAATTCAAGCATTTTCCCAGATTCAAGAAATATACCCGGGTATCCCCTCCCTACCCGGGTAGACAAAAAATTTCTAAAAATACCCGAGTAGGCTTGGTGGTCAACGGTCAAACAAGGGCAGATTGATGTTATATTTTTTGGGAAGGTTAAATTTTCGAAATAATTTATAATGAAGATCAATTTAATTATTAATTATTAATAAATAGTTATAAGGGTCAAAAGACGAAAAATTAAAGTTTGCACATAATTCAATCCCTGTTTGTAGGTATAGTTTAATATTTTTTCTACATATTAATAAACTGGCATTACTGAATTTAAATAAGTAAAAACTATTTTCACGGATAATAAAAAAAATGAAAAAAGTATTTATCATTTAAAAAAAATATTATTTTATGTTATTTTAAATAAAACAACATCATTTTGGTATATAATTAATAATTTTTTACATTTTCACTCGATAAAATTTTACTAGCGAAGTCTACTTGTTCTTAAGAATCTATTTTTATAAATGATTCAATGGCATTGCTGTAGAATTTTGTTTTTTAGTTTATGTTCCATGTCCGTGTATTGGATGTGGCCCAACTACAAGAGGCTCGGTAATAACCCTAGTCCCTAAACTTATAAAATCAGGGTTTTTCATCCTTTTATACATGTAACTTTTTCTAATCCTCTGCTTTATTTATATAAAGATGCGATTGTCAGAGTGATTATAAATGTTTCATCCCTTTTCTCTAGGAGCACATGAAGAAATCTCCGCCATCAATTCTTACCCACCACCATATTAATTTCTAAAAAACTATATAGCATATTTCGACATTAGAATTTTATTTTAAAAAAATTGTAATGATAAAAGAACATTATTATGTCTTAGAAATAGAAATGCCTAATTCAAAGATTAATAAATTAATCTTAAATTTAAATGTTTTATCAAATATATACGAATTAGATATTTTTAAGTTTAGTAGATCAATGGATACTAAAAATAACGGCGTTAGTCTGTACACAATATTAACATAATAATAGGGAGAATAGATGTCTATATCTATAACTTTATTTCTTATTTATAAAATTTACGTGTAAATATTAAAATTCTGGATTTTTAATATTTTTCTGAAAACTCACTTCCAAATTCATTATTATTATATTAGAATTAATATTATATTAATTTTCTCTTTCTACTATCTATTATCAGGTTTATATAATGTTACCCTAGTCCATAACAAGCATAAAAGCTAAAAAAGAAAAACATTTATATTTTCCAAGATCGTTTTTTTGCACCTGATGACCAGAAATTGTCCCCTGTCCTGCTGTCTTTTCTTCATTGTCCTTCGTCCGAACCACGTCTGTACAAAACAAAACATTGTGGTCCCCACTGCCCTTGGCAAATTGGCAATGGTAACTGGTAATTCCCTGTAGCGCCGACCCCTTATCCGATACGAAGGGTAAATTTGTCAATCCACCACCACCACCCCACAACACTGCGCAACTATTAAAAAACAACAACCATTTAGTATCAGCAACACTGATACATTATGATTTCTTTATTAATTAAGACGCGTAATTAGTTAATTATTAAAGAGTAAAATGTTATTTATCTATTAATTTGGAATATACAACTTATAAATTGCAAAATTGCGACGTTGATCACGGAGGAATAGCATTGGTGCAATCTCAACCTTGTATCAATTTCAAGACCATCAAGATTGACGGTGTACAAATGTCGGTGACGTCCAATTGCTAAAACACAATTTCTGTTGTGGGACCCCCTCTTTGTAGTTGAGGTCCTGAGGAGGAGGCCCACGGCTACACATATTAGGCGCCCTCTTTTTTTATTTTTTTATTAATATTTTTTCTTATATTTGTTTTTTTTTTTTTTCCATTATGGATGGGCAATGAATAGAAAGAAAGTTTAGCCTGTTGAATAGTGAATAATATAGTTGTAATAAAAGAATAGATAAAGAATGAATGTATATATATATATATATATATATATGTGTGTGTGTGTGTGACTATTTAGAGATAGATAGAGATGGTGGTGCAGCTGTGGTGATTTGGCATTTTCTGGTTTTGTTCGGTGCTTGTTGGTTGGTTGGTTTGTTGGTTGGGTTTGATGTATACATAACGGAGCTAACTAAGCTAATTTAGGAATAAGAGGTGAAGGTGAAGGTGAAGGTGGTGGTCATAGCAAAACTAGGATTTTAGAGAGAGAGAGAGAGAAGGGGATTTTAGAAAACAAAAGAGCAACTTTTGACTGGGTTTTTCTGTGCTCTTTTTGTAGAAGAATGGAATGATTGGTCTGAGGCTGAGAGTTTGCTGAACTACTAGAGGTTGAAAGCGAGTGTTTTTTTATTTTATTTTTTCTCTTTTTTGTTGGGTGTTCGCTCAGAGAAATATTAAAAATTGCTTCTTGATGATTGGGGAAGAAACATAAGAACATTAATTGACGATGAGAGATTGCGGAATATTCAAAAAATTTGTTGGAATGAGGTATGTGTTTTGAAATGTTTTAATTCGCAGCATAGCATGCCTTTCAATATTCAATATTCATTATAAAAGAAAAAAAAACACATTTTCCTGAGATAAAATTCATTTTTCCATTTTCATTTTCTCTCTTTTATAGGCGTCAGTTCCGAGGTTAATTTTCTCAACAACACCCAGAGGTTAAAACCCATGCAACAGGCAGGCGCACAAGTTTGTTAGAGGGAAAAACAAATCTCGTTGATTCTGTTTGAAAGGAGGGAAAAAACAGAAAAAAGGAGGAGAGTTTGTTAGAGGAAAATTTTCTCGGAAAAAAAAATAAAAAATGGATAGTAGTAATCAAGGAGAGATGCAAGAACCGAGCATTGAGACCGATAAGCTCAGCTACGAAATCTTCTCCATTCTCGAAAGCAAGTTCCTCTTCGGTTATGACGATGAAAAGCTCTGGTTCCCCAAGCAAATACCTACCACGCCCATTGATCCCAAACCCGAAGCTCAACAACCGCCAACCGTCGCCGCTGTTGACGGTGTCTCCGCCGTTAAGAACCAGCGTGGCAAGATATGCATACTCGCCATCGACGGCGCCGGGATGCGAGGGATTCTCGCCGGAAAAGCCCTCGCCTACCTGGAGAACGCGCTGAAGAAAAAATCCGGCGACCAGAACGCCAGAATCGCAGATTACTTCGACGTCGCAGCCGGCGCCGGCGTCGGAGGCATATTCACGGCGATGCTCTTCGCCACCAAGGACCACAGCCGGCCGATTTTCTCAGGCGAAGACACGTGGCGGTTCCTGGCCGAGCAAGGAAAGAAGTTCTACCGCCAGGGTTCCGGCACGGGCGGCGGCGGTTCAGGATTCTTGAAAAAGTTATTCAGCGGAGGAGGGTCCGGTTCGGTTGGGTCTGCCACAGCCGGTTTGGAGAAAGCCGTGAAGGAAGCGTTTACGGCAGAGAACGGACGGTGTTTAACACTGAAAGACACGCTTAAACCGGTTCTGATACCGTGCTACGACTTATCGAGTACGGCGCCGTTTTTGTTCTCACGTGCGGACGCGTTGGAAACAGACAGCTTCGATTTCCGTCTGTGGGAGGTTTGCCGCGCGACTTCGGCCGAACCGGGTTTGTTGGAGCCGGTTCAAATGCGGTCCGTTGACGGCCAAACGAAGTGCGTGGCGATTGACGGTGGTTTGGCGATGAGCAACCCGACGGGTGCGGCGATAACGCACGTGCTTCACAACAAACAGGAGTTCCCGTTCGTGCGTGGCGTGGAGGACCTGTTGGTTCTTTCCCTTGGAACGGGTCAGCTCTTAGAGGTAAGCTATGACTTTGAACGGGTCAGACGCTGGACGGCCAAGGATTGGGCCCGGCCCATGGCCCGCATTTCCGGTGACGGCTCAGCTGACCTCGTTGACCAGGCCGTCGCCATGGCCTTCGGACATTGCCGTAGCACCAATTATGTTCGCATTCAGGTATGTTATGTATGTAAGATCTTTATTTAATTATTCATTAATTTTTACAAATGATGTTTGCTCATTTAGGTGAGGTTGATGTTGATGTCAGAAACGTTGAAGGTGTAATTAATAATAGAGGGATCTGTTTTGCCTTGTCTGTATGTAGCAAGTTGTATGAGTATGGGTTTGGATAGCTGGATTTGGAACTTGTTAGTACTGTATGAGGAGGAGGTGTAGGACTAGGGGATAAGGATATCTCTTCATGTTAATTAATGTTGTGCATTTCTCCACTAGGAATGTGTATCAATATTTTGGAATGCCATGTGTGCAATCTCAGCTAGTGAAATGGAATGGATACATTTATTTTCCCTGTTTTGGATCAAAGGGTGGTATTTGTTAAGGGATGCCCAATTTTGGTATCTCCCTTAACTAGAGCCGCGTATTATTAACAAACCATTTTAGGTAAAAACTAATAAAACCCATTCTAAATTTGTTCGGTTTTTTATCACAACAAGTTATTGCTGCTTTTAATTGTGATTAATGATGCGTGCATCTGTCCTTCAGTTTCTTTTATGGTTTGAACTGTCATCTGTGTATCTCAAACAGAACATTACTTGTGCTATCCTTGAATTCTAGAGCTTCAAGAATATGTACTAGTAATTTCGAATTGATGTGTTTTCTAAGCAGTCGTTATATGACAGGCCAATGGGTCAAGTATGGGGCGATGTGGACCTAATGTGGATACAGATTCAAGTCCCAGCAATGTAAAGATGCTGATTGGAATAGCAGAGGAGATGTTGAAGCAGGAGAATGTAGAATCAGTGCTCTTTGGAGGAAAGAGGATTGGGGAGCAGAGTAACTTGGAGAAACTTGACTGGTTCGCTGGAGAACTTGTTCAGGAGCATCAGAGGAGGAGCTGCAGAATAGCTCCCACTGTTGCTTTCAAGCAAGCTACCCCAAAAGCGACCTAGGTCATGGCCAATAGTTCCAAGAATCAACCTAAAGAAAAAGGTAAGCAGTCCTTGTTTTGTTTTGTGTTGTGTTACCTCAATAATTTATAGACATCCTTTCAAAGAGACCGTTTTAGTGGACCCGCTGAATAAATTACGAGGGGGAAGGCATCTTAATCAAAATAATGATAGATAAAATGATGGAAATACTATTCAGATGTTTTTCTTTTATTAAATAAATCAAACATGGCCCAACATTGCTCAACTAATCCCGTTTTCTAATTTGACAAGTTTTGACATTTGAACATTTGATTTTCAAATGGCTCCATTCATTCAAATCACAAGCATCGACGTCAATGTATGACAACATAATGGGTGGGGGTCAGGTAAGGCCCCAACTTGTGATGGACTGAAGTGGTGAACATAGTCTTTGGTAAATTTAATGGGTGGGGGTAAGACCCCAACTTGTGGATGTCTCTTAAAAGTGAAATTTCATACAAGAAAAAGTTCATCATAACTCTACTACAATTGAATTTTATTGTCTAGCAAAAAATTGTTATTAGGAACAGGTGCTGACTTTGTCAGCTTCTGTGGATGCATGGACGTGGACTTGTCTAAGTTGTCTCCTTATTTCTTCAATATAGATTATCATATCTTTTAACAAGCAATTGTTGTTATATGTCGTATAGAAAGAAAGATGAAAGAACATAGGTGATATCGGCCCACCGACACTCACTGTTGGGTAGGGGAAGGGTATTCTGTTCAAAATAATTCAAAAGGTAAAAGGCAGGGTGGCAACTTGGAAGAGGTTAAAGAGGGTATTTTGATAAAAAAGAATGAGATCATGGCGGGGCACCCCTAAAAGGCTTTCCGTAGTCCTGAAAAGTTGCTTCTCGTGTAGTAATGTTATGGGGCAACAATTGTTTTCATTGGAAACCAAAAATTATGGTGTGGTTGACTATTAACTTTGTTCTTCAGGGAAAAACGAATTAAATCTTAACTGCTTATTCAGAGGGCTTTGGGGTAATTTGATTGAAGTTCTGATATTCAGTAGTTGTAGGTCCTACCACTAGTTAATTATATTCTTTTTCTGGGGTATGTCTTGTTTTGGTTACTCCTTAGAGTATATTTGGTTGCATCTCTCTTCTCTCTCTCTTTTTTGGATACAATCTCTCTTCTCTCTTACGCAACCAAAGATGGCAATTCTTTTGGGCCATGTATAGAGAACTAAGCCTAATCCAATTTTGTAAGTTGTAGATTATCATTCAGACCACATGCATATTCTGTGAGATTTCTCGGAAATAAATTTCCATACTTAAATTAACTAGCGGCTCTTTTCATAAGTCTGTTTATGGTGTATCATATGGGAAGTTAACTTTTATTACATAATTTTAGCTAAATAAAGAAAATTTGGGCATTCAGAAAGAAAGGGGTCTGCTATTGGGAACTCTAACTATTTAGCAAGGGAACAATGAAATGGGGACAACATCACATGACAAGAGCATATTCTTTTTAAATAGAAATAACATATAACAAGGGGCGTTCACAGTTGGTAGTGAACTGTGCCCCCAAGGATCGGGTCGTGTATTCGATCCTTGGCAGACGCTCTTTAAGGTCAGAGGTGATACCCTTGCACTCAAAGCCTCGATTGGAGATCAGTCTCGTCGCTTCTCCAGTGACAACTGTCCAATACATCCGCTGCACCAATGAGGAGCTAGCTTTAGTGGCCGTACTTCAAGGACAAGATGGCTGAAGGGGATTGAACAAGAATACCTCCACGATGATACTAAAAAAAAAGAAAAAGATATTAAGTCAGTCCTCACATGTCCCAAAAAATTAGAGAATGTTCAACACGATCTCAAATTCCAAAGATTTTCCCTTTTTTTCTTTCAAGCTCTTGATTGGTTATGTTTGCTAACAGCAATGCGGTTTTACGAAATTAACTCAAAGCATCTAATTTTTTTCATCTGTACTTATTCTTGAAGAGAATTTCATCTGTGAAAGGCGAAATCCTTGTTATATCTCATGGAAATTGCATGTAAAAGGTTTTGATGTGAAGTTCTTTATCTTGCAGGGAAAACTGATATAGGAGGCAAAAACAAGAAGCGGGAGTAAGGAAAAAGAAAAGAAAGCAGATAGTAGCAGTATAGCAGCTTTACTTTTCAAGATAGACAAAGAATGCTAGGGAGTTGAGTGAAAAGGACAAGTAGTGTAAAAAGAGTACAAAATCTTTGTGGGATGCTTTGCTCACCGCAGGACAGACATTGTGGTGTCCCCTCTACCTTTGTATTAGGGTAAGAAACCAAGAAAGCAAAGCAAAGTGTCTTGAGTTGAAGCTTTTTAGGGTCAAACATGAATCAAGTGTGAATTTTTTTTTTTTCAAAATTGAATATTCAGGGTGGAAAATTGGGTTACAATATTCCATTCTAGTTCTCTTCTTTATTTTTTAAGGATATTTTGTAAATGTCTTTTTTACATTAAAAAAGTTTCATTCCCGCTTCAAAGAAACTTTGTGGTTGGTTGGCTACCTTGTTATAAAATTTAAAAAAGTAGGCAAATTTGTCTCTGACCTCAGATTGATTGTATTGCTTTTATTTTGAATAGCACGTTGAAAAGATTTATGATGAGTGGCTATATTTCTTTTTTGAATGATCAACGACAGTATCTCCTATAAACAATTGGATGGGTCACCACCATGTTCCATCCTTAGGGAAACTACTTATTATTATATTTATATCTTTTTAGATCTATTATAAGCCTGGATTACTCCATTTGGATTTTCTCTTACATAATAAGAATCTGAATTTCAGGGTCAATATCAATTTTTTAATTTTATTGTTTCACTTGTAATCAGTTTTAATTGAACTTTGTAAGAATGAAGTACCTAACATTGTACACATTGATGTCGTTATCGAGTGGTAGTTAATCAGAAAAGTACCGGTTGTTCTTGGTGCTCTTTGCTTTATGCGCTTGTGGAAACGAGCGATTTGACTATTGGCAAATGAGTAAGTGTTGCTTCCCTGAAAGGCAAGATAGGAATGAAGATTTCAACGTGGTCCATGCGCATGAAAACGAAGGTCTCATGCGGTACGGTTCTATTACCTTCTGTATGAAGAAACATAACCCATCTTTTGAAATTTAACATTTTACGAAAATTAGGGAAAATAAGGAGGATTGTGATAATAAGCTCAAATTGGTACTTTGATTTTTACATACTTTAAGGCAATTAAACTTTTTTATTTCTTCGTATAACGCTCGGATTTAATATTATAATTTGAATTTCGGCCAGCTTCTTGTTGAATTTAATATCTCCATGGATTGTTTGATATCTTGACCACAGAAGAAGCTGCATCTTTTCAACCAAGATAGTCATTGCTCGCACTAAAAATATTCAAAAGTATCTATTCATTTGACGTACCAAATTCAAAATTCTCATGAAGGAAGATGAGACTAACTAAAAAAATAAACCAAGAAATTCATGCCATAACAATGGGTATATACATAAGAATATACCAAGAAATCATAAAGAGAGAAAAAAAAAAAAAAAACTGGTCCATAAAGGAAAGCAATAGTTGTATTGAAATTTATCAAAAGACACTGTAATATTACACCAGTAGATTGTGAAAGAAAAATGCAATTGATCAAGTTAGTTTGACGACAAATTTTCGATCTGCTTATAATTGGAAGAAACAAAAAAAAAACAAAACAAAATGGATCCTGAAAGCTGTGAGTCTTTGCGTTGAAAAAACAAAGGTATTATTTTAGTTCAAAATATTTATTAACTTTCGTTACAAAGAGTATATATAATTTTCACTCTTTTTGTTTTCAGTAAAGCATTGACAAAATTCAATAGTCATAACACAGAACTGAGTTTTTTTTTTGCAAATTATTCACTGTTAGAATCAAATCCTCGGGTTTTTTTACCACTGTGTTTTTAATTATATAAAAAAATTACTTTGCCCTCGTATCAAAATATTTCACCTATCTGTTTTTTTTTTACCATTGACTATGCAATATATTTGAGTACAGACTCATATACTCTAGTATAACAAAAAATATTTGAATATATGGGTCTGTACTTAGTACATATTCAAAAAACCCGGATGTTGAATATGTACTCGAGTATAGGACCTAGATACTTGGGTATTTACTGTTCCACGTAATATACTCAGTATATGGGGGTCTCTACTCGAGTATATTGAGACCAAATTTTGTACGATAATTTTTCAACGAGTAGCTCTCGAAAAGTTATGTGGAATAAAAAAAAAACACATGATTCGGGCACCCGAGTCAAAAAATATGGCCTTCCAAAGTTTTACTCTAAAATTTCCACAATTTTGTAATGCCAATAGGTTTTGTGATACCCACAAAGCTCCTCCTCAGGTTACTCGAGTCAAGTTCAATATCATGAGTATATGACTACAGAAACTTGTTTGATCCAAAAAATCTCGTGGAAAAAAATTTAACTATAAAACTTCGGAAGACCATATTTTTTGACTCGAGTACTCGAATCAGGTGCTTTTTTTTATTCCATATTTAATATTGTTTTATGATTAAATATTTTTCAACGAGATTTTTTGGATCAAACAAGTTTCTATAGTCATATACTCATAATATTGGACTTGACTCGGGTAACTTAAGAAGAGCTTAAAATTTTGGAAATTTAAGAGTAAAATTTCGTAAGGCCATAACTTTTAACTTGGAGGTCCGAATCTGGTACTTTTTTTATTCATTCCACATAACTTTTCGAGAGCTACGCGTTGGGAAATTCTCGTAGGAAATTTCATCGCAATATACTCGAATACATTTTCAAAAAAACCCAGATGTTGAATATTTACTCGAGTACAGACTCATATACTCGAGTATTTGCTGTTGTACTCGAATATAAGGGTCTATACTCGAGTATATTGCGAGGTCAATAGTCAAATAACCGCAGATAGGTAAAATATTTTGATACGAGGACAAAATGATATTTTTTTATGTAGTTAAAAGTACATTGATCAAAAAGTCCAAATCCTCTAATTGCTTGTTAATTTGAAGCCTTGCACACCTTAAGATATATTTCTCTTCTCAAGAGCAACCAGAAAAAAGAAAAAGAGAGTAGAAAAGCGAGGTGGATGACTTGGAGATCTCATGTTATGTTATATGTGTTGGGAAAACTCGGTTCCCTCTAGCTCGGCTAAGCAGCCTTAGTGCGGAAGTCAATCAACAAGATCCTGATCTCGGATCTCGGCAATACCTCGGCCTGAACTTCACCAGGTCGGGTAGTGCAGCAGAAAATCAAAACGAAAAACAAGAGAGAGAGAGAGAAGAAGAACACAACCAGATTTAACGTGGGAAAACCTTCTCTTATGAAGAAGTAAAAAACCACGGGACCTAGTCCAGATCAGAAATCCACTATGAAAATAATGGTTACAACGAATCAAATACACCAATGTGGTGGTTAACTCAACCTCTCCAACAATGGTGATAATCAAACTACCCTAGAGATGTTTCACTCAAACTCTCTCTAGAGATCTCTCAAATGCAAAGCATAAAGCTTTTGCTCAAACAATCAAATAATTCTCTCAAATTTGTTCTCTCAAATCTGACCTTTCAAATCTAACCTAGCATCCACCCTCAACTAATGAGTATATATAGAGGAGGTGGGAATTAGGGTTAGGGTTTTTAGGAAACCCCTCAAATGGGCTTGGGCTTAGCATTGAAGGAGGAAGCCCAACAAATCTCCCCCTCCGACTTCAATGCGTCGGCTTCAGCATCAACCCGGCTCCTTCACAGCAGTCTTCAAATTTTCTTGCTGGAACCGGCTTTGTCATCATGTCGGACCAATTTTGGTCAGTGTGCACCTTGACGAGTTCGAGCTCTCCACCTTCCACCACATCCCGGATCCAGTGATACCTCACATCAATATGTTTAGTGCGGGAGTGATAGGTTGAATTCTTCGCAAGATGGATTGCGCTTTGATTGTCACAACCCAGCTCGTACTTGTCTTGATCATGGCCAAGTTCCATGAGGAACTTCTTCATCCACAACATCTCTTTGCTTGCCTCAGTAGCGGCAATGTACTCAGCCTCAGTTGTAGATAGTGCAACACATTTCTGAAGTCTTGATTGCCAAGAGACAGCTCCTCCGGCAAATCTCATCAAATATCCTGTAGTCGACTTCCTCGAGTCGGCGTCTCCCCCTAAATCAGAATCCGAGTAGCCTTGCAACTCGGGTTTGCCTTCTCCAAATCGGAGACATAAGTCTGTCGTACCTCGGAGGTACTTGAAGATCCACTTCACTGCTTCCCAGTGCTCTTTGTCGGGGTTTGACAAATATCGGCTTACCATTCCAACAGCATACGCCAAGTCGGGTCTAGTGCAAACCATTGCATACATCAAGCTTCCGACGGCGGATTGGTAAGGGACCTTCATCATCTCATCTTTGTCTTCATCAGATCTCGGACATTGCTTCTGGTTCAGCTTTATGTGTCCGGCAAGGGGGGTGCTCACTGTTTTGGCTTTGTCCATGCTGAATATCTTCAGAATCTTCTCAATATATTTCTCTTGACTCAGCCACAGTAGCTTCTTCTGTCTATCTCAGATAATCTTTATTCCGAGAATCTGCTTTGCAGGGCCGAGGTCCTTCATTGCGAAGGACAAGCTCAACGCCTTCTTCAGGGCGGCTATCCTCGATTTATCTTTCCCTACAATAAGCATGTCGTCAACATATAACAACAAAATCAGAAAATCTCCGGCCTCATACCTCTTCACAAATACGCAGTGGTCGGCATCTGTCTTTTCAAACTTATGATCAGTCATGAATGATTCAAACTTCTTGTACCACTGCCGAGGTGCTTGCTTCAAGCCATAGAGACTCTTCTTCAAGCCATAGAGACTCTTCTTCAACCGACATACCATGTCTTCTTGGTCTGGAGCTTGGAATCCTTCAGGTTGCTCCATATATATTTCTTCTTCTAAGTCACCGTGAAGAAATGCCGTCTTCACGTCCATTTGTTCTACCTCGAGGTCCATTGAAGTCGCCATAGATAACACGGTTCAGACCGAGGTCATTTTCACCACAGGAGAAAAAATCTCCTCAAAATCTACTCCTTTCTTCTGATTGCAGTCTTTCACCACAATCCGGGCTTTGTATCTCGGCTTTTGCCCGTTCTCTTCATTCTTAATCTTGTAGACCCATTTATTTTTCAAAGCTCGTTTACCTTTAGGCAACTTGGTCAGCTCATAAGTCTGATTCTCGTGCAGAGACTTCATCTCGTCCTGCATTGCCTTTTTCCATTCTTCTTTCTCTGAGTTCATCACAGCCTCATCATAACTCTGAGGCTCACCGTCTTCAGCAACAACAGTGTATTTATCAGATGGGTATCTCGTAGAGGGTCTTCTTTCTCGAGTTGGATATCTCGGCTGTTCTTCAGCTTGAGAACCCAGTTCATCAATTGCATCCCGGATCTCATCATCAACTCGGACCTTAGTGTCTTGGTCATCTTCA